TCGGCACGCAAGGAGCAGCTTCTAAGAGGCAGCCGCAACCTCCTTCAAAGGGGCGCCCGCGCCTTCTATTGTGCCTGTATCGTGTCAGACGGCAGCGATGGGGCGCTACGTAGCGGGGTCCGACGAGAGGGCCCCGGCGAGAACGGGGCCAGCTGGAACATCGGAAGTTCGAGTCTCGCAGGGGCAGCTCATCAAAAGCAGGATGAGAAACCAAACGCAGACAGAGCTTGAGGAAGAATCTCAAACCAGAAGTGAGCAAGCTGCTTATCATAATCAGAACCTGCAGGTAGTAATGGCCAGAAATAGATTCGGAACGGTGCGGTGAGCTCTTCCAGCACAGGTGACTGAAGCATGGCTCGCCCTATACCACAAGAGCGCCATATCAGCAAGCAGCCGTCAACAAATCGTCTGGAATATCGATGTGCACCTCCGCACACTTGCGAGCGCAACAATACTCAGGAACCGTGTATCCCAAACATACGTAGTCCTGAATATACACTTGACATACCCGGCAAGCTATCTCAAGGTCCTGCCGCAAGGCATCCACGACTCTCCGAGTCAGCCCCCCGCTACCGCTGGGGTTTGCCATCTCTTGCGGCTTTGAAAAGTTTGATCCGACGACCGCCCCAAGAGAAATCCACTGCGCATCGAAATCCTCGAGCTTGGCAATGAAGTCCCAGTCGATCGGTTTTCCAGAGTCATCGGTCGCGGACAAGAAGTAGCTCTGCGTGGGCAACGGGCAATTCCTGTAGTCGTGGGGGAATCTCGCGAAATTCCTTGAGAACCCCCGCGCAGCATTCACATTCCTATCCATTTTGGCGCCGTTCCACATGCCATGCTCGTGTACGCCCGCGGCGAACCGCTCGAATGGGTCGCGCACGAACGCGAACTTCATGAGCTCGTCCATTGACGCCACGGCGCTGACTGGGTCTAGCGCGGTAGCTCTGGGATTCAAACCCTGGAGATTCGCGGAAGTAAGTTTATGGCAGCCGCCATCGTGAACGGCTGTGCTCCTGTTCCAGCCCGTCAGACAAGGCCCAAGCGAATCATGAGGGCCACGGTGGCGCGAGAACGGGGGCTTGCCCATCAGATGTGAAATTGTAGTCGATGCCACCTTCCAGATTGCAGGGTGCATGGTAATCACTGTGCCCACTGCGGCGACGTCGATCTTCACAGCGCGCACAGGGGTTCGAATAAAATAGGGCATGCACCAGCCGTCGAATCGGTACGGAGCAGGATTAAGCGGCACAGACACATCCTCGTAGGTCATGGCTCGCTGGAACCGTGTTACGTTTCGACCTTGAGGCCACGACAACATAGAGCTATTGACTTCTCTGCCCGGCAACCACAGGCTCGACCGCTCTTCCCACACGGTGGCGTCGTCACGAACGCTGATGCCGACCTGTGCGCTGAAGCGGCCGTCTGCATCGCCGCTGGACTTTGGTAGGTAAAAACGCTGACACGCATCCGATCCGCCACCGCGCCTTGCGAACGTGGTCGAGCGCGCAACTACCGGAGGGCATGGCGAGCCCAGCCCCCGACCTTGCATGACCTTCCACCGAACCATTTTCTGGGGGGCCCAACTCGGGGGTACACGAGGGGGGGCAGCCATCCTCGAGATGAGCGCGTCCGAATCGCACTCCAGGGGTACCTGGTATGTCCCCAGACATGCGATGTCTTAATATATTATAGACGGGGTGACCAGAAATCTCGACCTTTTCCCCGAGGGGAATTCTTCATCCCGAGTAGTTGTTTGACTGTCCCGGGGCCCGGCGATGGCCCCCAGAGGCCGAAAATTGCCAAAAACAGCCCGTCGCATTTTTGTTCGCGTGGCGAGCACGTCTGGGCCCCAGAGCTACAGTTCTTTCTTCAGCGGACAGTTGCTTTGGTCGGGGGGAATCCGCTCGGGGGCTGGGGGGGAGAAGCCGCCTGCGACCCGAGACTCGCACTGTTGTCCGAACCTCGGGGGCGCGCAAACCTGGATTCGCGATCCATGGATTTGGCGCGCGGTCGCCAGATCCACAGATCAGGGGAGGCGTTCTCTCCAAAATGCGACCGGTGCCGCCTCGCTCGTCGGCGGAAGCCCGCGATTTCCCATGGAAGCGAGACCCGTCACTAATCCACGCCCTCCCCCGCCTCCTCCTCCTCCTCCTCCCTGTCCCCATGTTTGCGATCGCCTGAAAAACCTGCGCCGGTACGATTATGCCTATCCACAGCCCGAACTCCGGAGGCAGTTTTCCTCCACAGCGTCGCGGTCGACCACGAGCGCAAAGACCGAGGCAAGCCCCTCGTCGGAGGTCTGGGCATCGGGGGAGGCCAAAGAGGGGGGCGTCCGAGAGGGGGGGGGGCGCAAATAGTGTTATGTCGGGCGTGTCCCCTACAGGGGGATTTTCGGTGAAAAATCAAAAAATACCATCAAAAATGCAACAAACAGGTAAAAAATACTAGAAAAATAATCCCCAGACTGTCTGTGGACTACTTTCTGACTATTGTGGGGGTATCTTTAATTTTTCGTCGAAAATCCCCTTGTAGGGATACAGGCCCGACTAAAAAATAGTGGCCCGAGGCACGTGCGCGGACAAGGCGGGGGCCACGGGACGTAGCACTGAAAGAAGAAGGCGGGGCCATGAGAGCTGGGGAGATCTTTAGCGCACAACGAACGGCGCAGAATAAAATCTTACGCCGCCAGGGACGCCTCTCCCAGAGGCGGCTGGAGAGTTTATACCCTTACGGTGGCACGTCGTGGTACGAGCTTTCCAGCCGCCGTGGGGCAGGAGTCCCCGACGGCGGAACAGTTTGCTTCGTTCCGTTCTTCGTCGGCTAGGATATAGCTGCCCTCGCCATGATGTCCCCCCCGCCCTGTGGTTACACACAAATGAAACTGTGGATAACTGTATGTGTAGGACTGGCTCCAGAAACACTGAACCCAAAAACCGTGCCATCTCTTGGGGGCCGACTTCTGCTCCCCGGCCTGCCCGTCGCCCGCGGGGGGGCCATCGCTGCACTTCCGCCAGCCTCCGCCGACCCTCCGCCGAGGAGGAGATGCCAACTCCTTCGACCCTCGAACGCGAGGCCCTTTCGGGACCGGCCCCATGTCTGGGGAAACTAGAACGTAAGTACCGATACTGCCACTCCCCGGGCCTCTACCGGAGTGCGTTCTGACCAGAATGTCGAGGCGAATCCAGCCGTGGCGACGAGAGCATCCGAGGAGGCCCCAGAGGGGGAAAACGAGGGACGGCAACGATACAGGCATACTTCCCTCCCTTGGACCCAGACGCCCGACGTCACTATTTTTTCACAACGTCAGCCCCCAAAGGTCGCGACCCATCCCCGGGGACCAGTTTGTCATCCTGAGTCGTTTTTTGACGGTCCCGAGGCCTGGTGGGGGCCTCCAGAGCTTGAAAATTATGACAAAACACCTCCGTCGTGATGTTTTCATGACCCGAGGGGGTCTTGGGATGCACACGTCGTTCATTTCTAATCGTGCTCGTCTCAAATTCTGCTCGCTTCGACTTGTTCCTGGCCCCCCAGTGGCCAGGAAGAGGCCCAGGATAGAACAATTAGAAGTGAGAGGATCCTGGCCCCCCGAAAAATCAAAGACCTCTCGAAGAATCAGACATGAACATCGTGCAATCGTCGCCGGGAGGAGGACTGGCTATGGGTATGGGCGCGGGTTGTCGGACCCTGGGGAACGCTCCCGTTCGAGCGGGGACCCCCATCCGACAACGCGTACCCACAGCCCTCTCCGATCCCCCTATGGGTATGGGTGTGTGTGTGTTGTTGGTTCGCCCCCCTCTCGGCCGCCCCCGAGGGCGGGCGGACCCTGCGGGCCCCGGGCCGCCGCCGCCGCTCGCCGCAGCGGGCGCCCTGGACCTCCCGAACGCAACGTTGAAGGGGCCCTGGGACACGCAAATGAATACACACAAATGAAAAGGTCCCCCATATTTCCCAATATTTTCGGGGTTTTCGTCTTCCCCCAAATCTCCCATATTTTCCCATATTTTCCTGGGAGTCGACGATGAATTGTGTCTGTGTGTTTTTTCCCCTCCTGAAGCGTTAGGTCGGGCCTGTCCCCTACAGGGGGATTTTTTGGGCCGAGGATGAAACAATACTCCCAAATTGCAAACAAACCCGCCGATCTGGCGTGTGAGTTTCTGAGAGCGTGGACTTGAGCGCTCGCTCACGCTTCGCTCTGCAGGGGGGCGGGGGGGGGGGCGTACGTGATTTCCGACGTCATTTCCGATGTTTTTGGGTACCCGGGGACAGGGGGATAGAAAACTCCAATTCCGAAGCCCAGACCGCCCAAGACAGCCCAAGAGGAAGCCAGGAGAGGCCCAAGAGGCCCACTAGACAATGCAAGAGGGCCCCGAATCGCCGCGGATCGGCGGCACTGGCCGGAGGCCAGCCCCATACTAAACAAATCGTCCCCAGACTATTTGTTTACTATGTTAGAAGATTCCTCCTGTAGATGGACAGGCCCGACTCAAGCCTAACGCGCAGCAAGTGCCTCGCATGGCCACGGCTAGACTAGCAAGCAACTCCCAGGAGATCTTCGCTGGAACGATCGTTGACGATTGAGCCCGCCTGGCGGGCCACGTTCGCCGGAGAACTCGAGATTGAGCCGGCCATCGGCCGCGAAGATACCAGCGCCGAAACAGGATGCAGCCTCCGAGGAGATGCATCCTAGGCTGGACCCCTTTGGACATGTGGCCAGAATGTGCCCTTGGATGGGCCTCGGGCCGTGCAAAAAGAAAGCCACGACGGGCTTCGAGGGGCCCTTTCCGGGCCTTCTAAGATGAAAAGCCTATACCCAGGAGGGGGTCCAGACCTATGGGGGACCACTCTCCTGAGCTCCGACGTCTCGGCAAACATCGCAACGTCGCAAAACAATTGCAACCAAGAAAGCCCTGGACCCCACCTTATTTGCCGAGATGGATCGCTCTGTGAGGGTCCCGGGGCCCGAAAGCGGGCAAGAAAACGCCCGGCTGGAAGAAAGGGAGACGCCGGGGTCCCATGGGGCCAGGAACACAGTCGGGACGTCGGGGGTATGCGTCGCTCGCCCAAGGCGGCCCCAACAGCACCCGGACCTAGACATCCGGTTTCTCCAAATTCGAGGCGTGGGCCCCGGAGGTCTGGACCACTTCCTTCTTCGCCTTGACTCGTTGTTTGACGGTCCCAGGACCCGGCGGGGGCGCCCAGAGGCCGAAACCACTCCAAAACCGCCAGCTCCATTTTTTTGGTTTCTGGAGCGTCGGATCTCTGGGGAGGCCCCCTGGAGGTCCTCCGGGTGGCCCCCAGAGGGACCTCCGAGGCAACCCCCGAACGCCCCACGAAGGCCCGAAAATGGCCTTGGCGAGGACCCTACCAACGGCCTCCGGAAGCCAGGAGACCCCCCAGACGCCCCCAGAAGCCACAGCAGGCCCCTGAAGAAAAAACCCGCGGGGGCCCCTCAGGACACAGAGATCCGACGCTCCAGAAAAATTTGAGCTGGCGGTCTTGGGCTGTTGTCGGCCTCTGGGGGCCCTCGCCGGGCCCAGGGGCCGTCAAAATGATTCAGAGCGAGACACCGACCCTATGGAAGTGGTCCAGACCACCAGGGCCCACGCACCGAACAGATTGGAGCAACCGGATGTCTGGGGAGGCCCCCCAGAAGGCCCCTCCAGGAGGCCCCCTAGGAGGGCCCGAAAGAGGCCTCCCAACGGCGCCCCCAGAATGGGAGGGGGGCGGCGGTGACCCCGGATTAAGACGAAGCCAGGACGAGGATCAATTCGGGTGAGGCGGAGGAAGAGAAGGAGGAGGAGGAGGAGGAGGAGGAGGAGGAGGAGGAGGAGGAGGAGGAGGAGGAGGAGGAGGGGGAGGAGGAGGAGGAGGAGGAGGAGGAATGCGAGGAGGACCACGACGAATGATGGCCTCTTGGTCGAGGGCGGGGCACGGTGCCCGAGACCCGTCGGAGAATGGCCGGGGCTTCCCCGGGCGCGTGTAGATCGAGAATATCCCCAGCATGTGCGACGTCCTGATTGTTTCAAGACGGCGTGCCCGGAAGTCTAGACTTAGGTCGGGCATGTCCTCCTACAGGCGGATTTTGAATGAGAGATCAAAATAATCAAACATACTCCAAAATGGTCAAGGATTATTGAAAAATCGTCCCCTAACTATTTTACTATTTTCGTTACTATCTCTTGGGCTTTCTAGGGCCCTCTGGGGCGCCTCTTGGGCTGTCTTGGGGCTGTCCAGGGCCGTCTTCAGGCCGTCTGGGGGGCCTCCCAGGCAGTCTTGGGGGCGCTCTTGAGGACCTGTTGGGCCTTGTTGGAGCGTCGGACAGGTGAAAACACGATCAAAACCAACAATATCCAACACACACAACGAAATAAAAATTATCGATGTTGGCCTCTCGGGGCTTTCTTGGGACGCTTCTTTGGAGCCTCCTGGGGCGGCTTCGGGGCTTCTTGGGCTGTCTTGGGGCCATATTGGGCGTCTTTGGGGCCTCTTGAGGTTTTCTTGACTATCTGTACGGCCCGCGTGTCCTGTCGTGGGCAATTTGGAAGCGGCCCGGGGAGTCTGTGACCCCCCAAAAGGTCCCAGTGGGCGCCCATGGAGGTTGGTGGCACCGGCCCGCCCCCCCCCCCGGCCTACTCCGATATTATATATATATATATATATATATATATATTATATATATACTAGAACCACGCGCGCGCTTCGCGCGCGCTTAGGTTCTGTCGAGTCACAGACCCAGGAATCGTTGCGAGAAGAAATTGGTGACGCGAAGCGTCTTGGGGGCGTCCTTGGACGTCTGGGGTCTCCTGGGGCCTCTTGAGGGGCCTCCTTGGGGCCTCCTGGCGGCCTCTTGGGGCGGAAGGCTCGAGCTTGCGGTTCGTGGTCCCCCTCTGGGCCCCCTCTTGGGCCCGTCTTGGGGCCCTCTTGGGCCATCTTGGGCGCCTCTTGGGCCGTCTTGGGGCCCTCTTGGGCTGTCCTGGGGCCCTCTTGGAAGCTTCTTGGGCCGTCTTGGGGCGGTCTTGGGCGCCTCTTGGGCCGTCCTGTAACGTCGGAAAACCCAAAAGACAACTTTGTTGAAAATGTACGTTTTACGAAGGGAATGGGCCAATTTTGCGTCTAGGGGCCCTCTTGGGACGCATGTTGGAGGCTTCTTGGGGCCTCTTGGGGGCGTCCTTGGACGTCTGGGGTCTCCTGGGGCCTCTTGAGGGGCCTCCTGGGGGCCTCCTGGCGGCCTCTTGGGGCGGAAGGCTCGAGCTTGCGGTTCGTGGTCCCCCTCTGGGCCCCCTCTTGGGCCCGTCTTGGGGCCCTCTTGGGCCATCTTGGGCGCCTCTTGGGCCGTCTTGGGGCCCTCTTGGGCTGTCCTGGGGCCCTCTGGGAAGCTTCTTGGGCCGTCTTGGGGCGGTCTTGGGCGCCTCTTGGGCCGTCCTGTAACGTCGGAAAGCCCAAAAGGCGACTTTGTTAAAAATGTACGTTTTACGAAGGGAATGGGCCAATTCTTGCGTC